ATGGCTGTATCGTAATCTTAGCCTCGTTCTTTACTATCACCACTTCGTAGACCCACTTTGTCTTGCTCACCCACAACCTTCCCCCAAAGTGTCAAGCAAAAAGTTTCATAGTTGGGGATGCCAAACAGAAGAAGTGATGGGAAGAGAGCTGGTGGAAGATACATGATAGGAGAGTGCGAGAAAGACAAGACAATATTGTAAAAAAGAGAGAAAGGTGCAAAAGGTAGAAGAACAGAAAAGGGTAAATATTAGAAGGACTGATTGACAAGGAAAGGTGAGCTAGTTAGATGCAGAGAGAAGAGAGATATCCGATCAAACATTCAGGTAGTGTGGCCTTGTAAAAAAAAAAGTCCCTGCCAATGAAGAATGCACTCAGCCTGGAATTTATTCATAGATGTATTTATAATGCATACCCACAGAATGAATGGCTTCCCATGCATCTGAGCATAGCAGGTGTGTGCGCTTGTGCCTATACATGCCTGCGCAAAAACGGTGTGTATGAGTGTGTGTATGATTCCCTTCCATGCGCAGTCTCTCTGGGAGACAGGACAAGTGCTGATGGATGAGTGAACGTTTGTTTTAACGAGCCTCCGGAGTGGATTCACCTTGAGAGAGATTTGGTTTCTCACTTTACACTGCTTCTACTGCTGTCTGAAGATATCTGAAGCATACACCATCAGTCTACTGCTTATGTGTGTGTGTGTGTGTGTGTGTGTGTGTGCATGCTCATGATGTTTGTTCACCAGTGTGTGTTTTGCTTGTGCATTTTTGTGCAGTATGTGTGAGTTTTCTGGTCTGCTTGCATTTCTGGTATACCTGTGTGTGTTAGTGTATGTCTGGCTGGGTGTTGTTTGCATGTGTGAAGTGAGGGCGATGGTGTGTATCTGTGTACTATGAATTATTGATTGGGGACCATTCGATTACCCAAAAACCAGTAGTGTAATCTCATTACCAGTCATTTCTGTCATTAGTTGTTTTCTTTATGGATCCTGTGTGTGAATGACCTTAGCAAAAGCCACAGTCTTTGGCCATGTTCATTAAACATAAAGAAAGAAATGTAAAAAGAATCACTCCAATTAAGTGATCATTTCAACTTTGGTTAAAGGGATAGTAATTGATTGTAATCCAATACACTTTTTTTTGTTAAATTCAATGAATATTTCCTCACGGTTTGCTAGCTCTCTACCTTTCATATGAATGTAATTCCTCCCATGTGACCTTGGTGTCCTCATACCTGCAGCTCCTGGTTTGCAGGGACTCCTCAGCCAAATGCGGAATTTAATTTCATTGTTATTCCAGTCACTTATTCCAGTTCATGATCTTGCCTTTAGACCGCAGGGTGGCAGAGATAGTTGGGAAAATCCTGGTTCATCCGCCTTGCAGCACATTCTTTAAGCAAGACGCTAATGATGCGTCCCTGTCACAGTTGGAGACCGGAGAACGTTCCAGGTGCAGAAAGCCCAATGTGAATGAAAAACATGGCTGAGCCTGGTAAACTGATGTTTGTCAAGTGTCAACACAATTGAACTCTCAGCAGTGGCCTTGGTGTTAGTTTCAAAGATTTTTAAAAAAAGCTCCTTTGCAAGCATCAGAAGGGTGAGGCTTTTTGATCTGGGACTGGTGGTTTTGCTGTTGCTCAGCCTGGGATTTTGTATTTTAAATTTAATCTTTTAGTTCTTGATTTATTGTCTTGGTTGATTGTGTGCCATTTTATGTTACAGTTTCTCGATTGTTTACACACACATTTTCTGAAAGAATGCCTCATTCTCAGAACTCTACACAAATCAAAAAAAACACCACAATGGGCAAAACCCCTCAATTCTCCTGCAAAATGAACTTTACATTCAAAATTTCTTCTCAAAATGGTATTTTGTTTTCAAATGACACACAAACCATCATATGAATAGACATTCATAAGAACCAGTTGAACACTGATGTGCTCAATGTAAAACACTATGATGAATGGAAAACACTTCTTCTCCATTCATCATAATGACTTATGCCTTTTTTTGTTCAGTGTTACACTTACTACAGACAGTACATACATAAGTGTGTTGTAAAATATTTGAGAATATTGTTTTTATACTCAGAACACACAAATACATTTTATTTGTCCCACAAAAACAATGTACACAGTGTACATCCCATTCCCAACAAACACAAAGTTGCACATACAAAACAGAAGAATTTACTGTACACAGTTACAGTAAAAAAATAAACTATGCTGCATTCTCTCTTTGTTGCAGTCTGGCCACAGCACCTCATCCACATCACAAGCAATGTTTTCCCTGGCCAAGCAGCGGGGGAAATGTCGCCTAGCATGGCGATTCCAGCCATGAAAAGCATCAGCTGCTATATCTCCACATGCATCCTCCATAGCTTGGAAAAGAGGTATACACGTTTGTGGATTTCGGTCACACACTTTCCATCTCCAGGCAGAAAAAAAATTCCTCAATAGGATTGAGGAATGGAGAATATGGAGGGAGATAAACAACTAAAAAGCGTGGGTGGGCAGTGAACCAGTTACGAACAAGAGCAGCCCTGTGGAAACTTACGTTGTCCCAAATGACAACGTACCTGAGCTGCTCTGGGCCATCTACCTGATCTGGTGGAATGAGTGTGTTGTGTAGGGTGTCCAGGAATGTGATCAGATGGGCGGTGTTGTAGGGGCCAAGGGTAGCATGGTGATGGATGAAGCCGTGGTGGGCAATCGCTGCACACATTGTGATGTTCCCTTCGCGCTGGCCAGGGACTTCAACAATGGCACGCTGGCCGATGACATTCCTTCCCCTCTTGTCTTTTTGTGAGGTTGAACCCAACCTCATCAATGAAGATGAACTGGTGCTCCACTGCAGCCACCTCTAGCTCAAGGACTCTCTGAAACACACATGACAATATCAGAAATAGACATGGAGTGGTCACTATTGTGAAGCACAATCATTATGATTACAATATTGAAATATGTATAATTTACTGTATACAGTGTTGAGTGTATGCATCAATTGTGGGACTCACTTGCACATAGTTATATTGCAATTCTTTGACTCCTTCTGAATTGTGTTCAAATGGCACCCTGTAGACCTGCTTCATCCTGAGATGATTTCTGCGCAAGACACGGTCCAGTGTTGATAAGCTTACCCGATCAATATTTTGAAATATGTTATTGTTTTCTATTATTTTTCTTTGCATTTGCTGTAATAGTATGGCGTTGTTTATGATTTCAGTTTCCTGTTCAGGAGATAGAAGACGTTCCCGACCACCTTGTGTTGGTAATCTTTCAGTTCTGCCAAACAAATAGTAAAATACTGTAAATACAAAGTAGGTATACATTTCCTAAATACTTGAAACATTTATTACTACAGTATTTTTATAGTCCTACAGAACAGTCCACAGGCAATACTGTACTACTGTACTCATTGAGTACTGTATTGATATGCAGTACTGCAATTTGCTAGTGAGAGTAGATTTCTTACCTATTCTCATTTCGGAGAGTCCAGATGATGGATGCTACAGTGTACCTGCTCAGATTTGGCTGTACTCTTTGCCCAGCCTCCCTCATTGTTAGACCATGGTTGACCACATGATCAACCAAAGTGGCTCGGATCTCATCAGAGATTACGGACCTTGGCCGTCCTCGTCCTCGTCCTCGTCCTCGTCCTCGTCCTCGTCCTCCTCTGGCTCTGCCTCTGTTTCCAATGTTGGCATCCATTGCTCCATTGAAGAGCTCACCTGCTGCACTTTTATGCTAAAGCTCTGATTGCTAATTGGAAAACTGTGTGACGGGTGTTTGCCCTTGTGATGAGTCAGTGTGCATATTTGAATGGCAGTGTGTTCCTTGTGAAAACAAGATATTTTCTGCATGAAACTTGTGCCAAAAACAGAGAATTGTGTGTAGTGTGTTGAAAAAAGTGTGTTTTAGAACTGCAATTGTGCAAACTGCAAAAGTGTAAAGCAGGAATTGTGCTTGTAGTTTAGCAGAATTGGTTCAGGGGGTTGGTGAATGAGTTACATGTTGTGGTCATTGTGTCTCAAGTACCAGAATTTGTGTGTGAACAATTGAGAAAAACTGTAATAAATCCCATGGATTTGGTTGTTTTAAAGGTCTTTTTCTGTGGTTTGCCATGCCATCAATTTACATGCAGAACAGGTTTTACTATATGATAGTTACAGTATGTATTATTTTAATTAAATCAGGCAAATATACTTGATGTTGCCTTTTAGTTGATGGTTTAGCCTATCTTTTACAAAATGTGCTTCCATGGGTGCATCAGACAGCTGCCTCTTCATGAATTGGGGGTAGATGGATTTGCTCCGAGTTCACAAGTAGGAAGTCTGACTTTGAATGGCATCCCCTTGTACTTTTTCTAGTTGGAAGTTGAAAATTCCAGAGGTCCGAGTTGTCTGGAACGCAGCATAAGACCTGCCATATCTCCTACTGGAGGGGGATCAATGAAGCATCTAATTGTCTGGCTGTTAATGCTCCATTAAACCGAATTAGAATTAAACATTAAAATAGTCTCCTTAAATAAAAGTCTCATCATGGACGGGTCAGTGGTTCCAATGCAGATCTGTTTTAGGGGTTCTTGACATTTTAAAGATTTTAAGGTTCACATAGGCTATACCCCCAAATATAACAAATTTAACACATTAAGTTTAATAAGTTTTATTTTACTCCCTATACTGGAAGAATATAGCTGTTGTTTTGTTGATTTGATATTAAATTGGACATCTGTTCAGTGTTGGTGTAGTAATGGGGCACATAATGATGGTTACAGTGAAGAGTGAAAACAGTGATTGGAATAGTCACTTTCTCATTGGAATAATTTCCACTGAATGAACCTTTGAGTGAAATTAAACTATTTCTCAATTTTCCGGAGAACCCTTGAGTCTATTTAAAAACCTCTGGGACTGCCTTTGAGAATCACTGCTTTACAGCAACGTGGAAAAGAGAACGCTTTTCTACTTTTGGCCTCTAGGTGTCGCCGTAACAAATTCCCGCCTCTCTTCGGTCCTGCTGTGGTCCGCTCCCTGCGCTCTCTTTGACTGTTTACAACATTAATGGCGGAAGCCAGTTTTATCCTGTAAGTTGTCCATGTTTTTTGTTGAATGTGTTCAAAGCGTAGCAATGACAGCTTTAACGTGTGAAATCGGGTTATTAGTAGGGAAACACAGCGTCGGCATGTGTGTTGTGTTGGTCGGAATAGCAGCCCTTTCGCTGCTCCAGTTGCTTATGGTCTGTGGTTAAAACCGTTGTGTAACTGAATGAAACACCGCTGGAATAGGATGCCAAAGTCCATTCCCCAAAGCAAGTGTTACCTAGTGATTGTCACGGTTAAGTTATTGTTCAGTTGTTTAGAGATGTATTTTGTTTGACCAGTTTTAGCATCACAAGCTGCTGCGTTCAGCCCTCCTGTGCATCAACAGCACAAAGTGTTTTTCTGTTCATCTGTGTCACAAATTACAAAAGACTCTGCAATGAATGACAAATTATTGACACTTATATAAATGATTGATACTTATTATTATATTTTTATAAATAATTATTTGTAGGGCTGCAGCTGATGCTTATTTTCATATTGAATACAATCATTTTCTTGATAAACTAATAATTTGTTCCCTATTAATTACAACAAAACATGTCCATTATAATTAATCATTTTTTATTACTTATTATATCATTATTATATGACCTTCACAGATATCAATCTGTCCAGTTAGGAAGCATAAGCGATTATGAATCAGTGTCACTTGTTTTGGTGCAAATGAAAGTGACAGGTGTCTCCCAGCACAGTCTCAAGAGCATGGAGGAAATACAAGGAGACTGGCTGTTATATGAGGAGAGCTGGACAGGGCCGTAGAAGAGCATCAACAGCAGCAGGACCGGTACTGCTCCTTGGTGTGAGGAGTAACAGGAGAAACACTGCCAGAGCCCTTCAAAATGACCTCCAGCAGGCTACTGGTGTGCATGTTTCTGACCAAACTGTAAGAAACAGACTCCATGAGGGTGGCATGAGGGCCTGATGTTCTCTAGTGGGATCTGTGCTCACAGCCCAGCACCGTGCAGCTCATTTGACATTTTCCAAGAACACCAGAATTGGCTGCAATAGTTTTAACATCAGCTGCGGTACCCTGCTTAGAGCAGGCACAGACACTTGAAGGAGTAAAGGAGAGCAGTGGCCACTGCCAGTCTATGGTTATAGCAAGTGACAAAGTGAGCAGGAGGACAGTGGAGGTGAAGCGGTAAGCATGGCGTAGCTCATCCTGGTAGGGAGGGAGAAGGGAGGGAGGGCCATTTACACTGCGGATGCTGGGGACATGTAGGCTACCCACCACTTTTTGAAAGCATTTGTTAAAAATGTTCTTAAAAATAGCTTGCTCCAAGAAATGTTAATTAACAACTAAAAATGCTATGAAAGGTTTATTTGCACAATAAGCCTGCAATGCAATGTAAATAGAGAAGAAACGTCTGCATTGTCCAAAAAAAGTAACCTAGGCAAAACACAATAATAAGCTACCCATTATTGCATTGTATTCTATTATATTTTTATATTTTCACCTGCCACCTAAATTTTGTTCTTCCCTGGTGCAGAAAAAGTCCCCAGAATGCAGGAAATTAAGTGTTTAATGCTCAAAATCTTCTGGGGGAGAAAATGCCAGGGCCGATTTTTTGTCCCAGTCCGTTACGCTGCGTGTAGCATTATCCAGCATGACCTGTTTGGTGTTGGATTGGTGATGTGGCAAATCCTTGGAGGCTCACACAGACCTCCTTGTTCTAGCCAATGGAACCCTACTGAGTTACAGAGGATGAAATCCTCAGAGCCATTATCAAACCTTACACTGGTACAGTGGGTCCTGGGTTCCTCCTGATGCAGGAAAATGCCCGGCCTCATGTGGCCAGTGTGTAGGCAGTTCTTGAATAATGAAGGCATTGATGCCACTGACTGGCCCTCACGTTTCCCAGACCTGAATTTAATTGAGAGCATCTGGGATGTTATGTATCCGTGCAACTGATGCCGCCAAGTAGCGTCACAGACCAGTCCAGATGCTCACTGATGCCCTGATCGAAGTCTAGGATGAGATCCCCCAGGACACCATCTGCCGTCTCATCAGCAACATGCCTAGACATTATCAGGAGTGCATACTGACCGTTACGCAAATATTTGGTATTTTTACTTGAGAAATGACTATGATCAGTGATAGATTAATGTGGCTATTAATCAAGTCATCAATCAAAAGTCTTCCCGATTCATTTTCTGTCAACTTCCTATCGTCTAATGACTTCAGCTCTAATTACTTTTATTACAATTTCGGCTGCCTTATGGGTTCTGTTTCAGCAGATAGTCCTGATGCCTGTGTGGTGACACAATGCATTACCATGAGCAAAGTGTCAGTTAGAGCTGCAGCGATCAGTAGATTAATCAGAAATTGACCAAAAGACAATCAATCTGCTACTAATTTGATTTAATTTGAATCATTTAAGTCATTTAAGTCAGTAATATGTGATGGGTATTTTTCAATTTTATTTTCATTTACATACACTTTATAGACCAAACGATTAATCAAGAAAATAATCGGCACATTAATCAATAATGATAACTTTTAGTTCAGTTGCAGCTCTAGTGTCAGTATTATGTCTTGAGTTACCCAGTGATCCAACCTTGATGTCATCATGCTCACGTGTGCATGTTAGTGTTTGTATTCGGCCTGCTTGTTTCAAGGGGAATAATTAGGCTGGTGACAAACTGGGATGAGAGACAAGCTGGAAAATGAAATGACTTCCTTTGATTGACAAAAAGAGAAAATGGAAAAAAAACTAAACAGATAAAAGCACGACTATTATCAACAGTGTCTGTCGTCCTCTCCTCAGTTCCAGGTGAGTTGGCTGATTGAGGACGGGCTCCTGTGGATTCTGGCCATGGATGAAGAGTTGGCGCCTTTGGACTGCCTGCTGCCCTCAGGTACTGCCTTTCAAACACACATTCCCTTGGCACAAACACACATGCTCACAATCAGTCAAATACTCAGGCGTGTTATGTTCAACCACGAGCCACATCTGTGCGCGGGTCCACGCACAAACCGAGGCCCAGACACCGACAGTATGTACACGTCTGATCAAAACATGCACTCTACTCGCAGCACTGTCACACTTCTCTTCCTGTCTTTGCTTCTCCAACTCGCTCTGACACACAAACAGTCTTGGGGGAATTAAAACTCAAAAACAAATCAATGGCACTTTCATGACAGCAGTGTGTGTTTGTATGAGCTGCACTTCCTTGTTTTTTGTTAGGCTGCGCACATAAAGAATCTTTACTGAAAGAGGGCTTGATGCGTTTGCTTGTAATATTAGCTGTTTGAGAAAAACAAACTTTGAAGAGGCATCTCGCTAATTTAAATGTTTCTAAAAATAAGTGATCCTGCTCCTGAATAAAATCCCTGTTACTGCATAAATTCACTTTGTTCAAACCCAACGCTAGGAAAAAAAAAGATCTGACATTTGACCAAAAAAATAAAAATTTAGGCACGTTTCTCAAATAAGTTCAGTATTTGTTTAATGCGCTTAAAAAAAGATGGTCAGATCTTACTGTCCTACAGACCTGAGGAGGTAGCTGGTTATAGCTGGCTTAAGCCACATCTCTCAGGGCAAGGTTTATGTGAGCTCCCTGGTGGTGTGTGAGTGTGTGTGGAGACAGGAAAGCTGATATGAGCCTATGGGCAGGTTTTACCCAGAGCTGTAGAGGTCAAGGGGATCGCACAACGGTTTGGTTTGTAGAGGAGACAGCAGGCACATCCCTCCGTTCCTTGCATCTGTTTTGTATTGCAGTTCCATTTGTCATTTCTCCATGTAGAATTTGAGATATATTTGATAAAGAGCTAATTTCATGACTTGCATGAAAAATATTCCTGCCTTACAAGGTTGTACGTTATATTAAAGGGGGCTGCCATTGGTTGAGTAGCAACAGATACACTCTGCTTGTCCAAATGAAATTATAGTATGGGGTTTTTGACACTGGCTAGAAACATTGTCCACCCACAGAAGGATATAAATAAAGCTTTTAGGCGTGAAAAACAAACACTATGTCCCCAGGAAGATCGGCAGTGTCAGAGCTTTTGCCTCTGTCATCCTCCTTGGATTCTGCGGCATGCAGTGGTCACAGATGAGCCTGGTTCTGAAACATACAGTAAGCATATCGTGTGCACTTTACTGACAAGATACAGATGGATTTGAGTCCTAGAAAAATCTATTATTTAATAGATCCCCGTAATATGAGGTGTTGCATTCCTGTAGTTATTTTACACATCTGGTGCAACCCTTTTTTTCAACCTGCCACTTTTTGGGTAGCTAAAGAATCTTGTATTGAGCTGTACTCTAGAAGAGCATGAAATATCCTGTCATGAGCTCTTGTAGTCTATTTTTTCACGTTCAGAGTAGAATGTGAAAAATACACCACCGAACAAGAAAAAGGGCCAAGGAATGCAATGCTAACAGTTTTTTAGAGGTGTTGAGGTGACTCAGTATGAGCGTGGGATTCTCAAAAATAAAACGTTTAAAATAAAGGTGTAACAGATGATTAATTGTGACATATTTTAATTAGAATTTAATTAAAATGACAAAAACACAACCACAATTTAATTTAATCAGACCTACACACACAAAATCCTTCATCATGCCTCTGTTCAACGTTTATTAACCTGAGTTGGCTGTAGTCTGAATATTTATTGTTCAGGTGAACAGCATGCTCACAGTCCCCCAGTGATCTTCTTTGACTCTAAGGCCCTGTCTACACGAATATTTTCAAAACCGTGAATTTTTCTCCGCAGTTTGGCCATTTGTCCACATGGAGACGCAGTATCAGGTCACAGAAAGATTGTATGCCACTGCCTGCTTTGTTTACAATTTTATTAGGCTCTAATTGGCCAACATGGCTTTACAGTTAGGGTCATATCGCCGCTTGGTGGATTGGCATGTTCTTGACAGTGCTTGATAGCGTGTTTTTGTGTTTACATAGACAGAGATTTTTTTAAAACGAAGGAGTAAAAACTCTGGTAATAAAAATACCCGTGTCCGTGTGGACTAGGCCTAAGGCCCTGATTACACCCGGCATTAAAATGCGTCTCCACATGCCTCAGGTGACCACTCGTGATTGGTTCTCACTCCCCCGCTCTATATGCAAATAAAATGTACATCATTTCTGTTTGCAAAGACCAAATGTGTTGTTATTTTTAACCTGAATTTGATGAATTTATTCTTTATCATAGACAAATGAGACAAGAATTATGTTGAGGAAAAAAAAAACACAGCCCGACCAGAGTGTTTCTGGGGCCCGGGCCTCACTGATTACTAGATATGCCCCTATTGACCAGTGCATCTCTAGCCAGTGTTTGTGCAGTAAGAGACAGAGGGGTACGTATGTGAAATAATTACAAAAAGGTTAATGCATTCTTTCAGATATTTTCATACAAAAGTGTATGCTGTGAAGTATAGTTCTTAGAAAGATAGTCGCCAGGTGAGACATTTCCCTCTCATGCCCTCCGGCTGCTCTACAACTAAAGCTATCTATGAGGCACATCGATAGCTTTAGTTGTCACTAACCACTAACTACTAACTGTACCTATCGTTAGCTCAGTTAGCCATGCGGCTAGCAGTCCTATTAGCTTTAGTATTAACTTTATTAAACTTCCTTCCCGCAGTTCAAAGCTGTGTGCTAGTGGGTTAAACATCAACACTTGCCCTTTGCTCAGAGCTCCCAGTTTCGGCAGAGTCAGCTGATGAATCACGTTTTCTTTTATGTAACGTTGATGGCCATGTGCGTACATGTGCGTCTCTTACCTGGTGAACACATGTCACCAGGATGCACTGTGTGAAGAAGGTAAGCCAGCGGAGGCACACCATGTGCACCTGGAAATGGTATTCCCTGATGGCAGTGGCCTCTTGCAGCAGGATAATGCACTCTGCTACAAAGCAAACATGGTCCAGGAATGGTTTGAGGAACACAACAACAAGTTCATGATGTTGACTTGGCCTCCAAAGGGCCCATATCTTAATCCAGTCGAGCATCTGTGGGATGTACTGGATAAACAACTCCAATCCATGGCGGCCCCAACTCACAACTTACAGGAATAATTCAGAGTCTTGGTGCCAGATACCACAGCACACCTTCAGAGGTCTAGTGAAGTCCATTCCTTGATGGTTCAGGGCTGATTTGGTGGCAAAAGGGGGACCTACAAAAAGTTAGGCCGGTGGTCATAATGTTATGGCTGATCAGTGTAAGGCCTTGTAAATGGACCTATCTTTGTGTTTTCGACTGTTGGTCAGGCAGAACAAGCAATTTGAAGACTCTGGTGATTGGATTGAGACATTTTTCACTATTTCCCCACACAATTAATTGCTTAATTGTAAAAGTATTTCATCCGTAATGAAAAAAAAACATGACAAGTACCACATTAGTGCTGCATTGCTTTCTTCTATCTCGCCTCCTAGATGTCTGTCTCCCTCTCTGTTTCCATTGACTGTTGTTGAAGGTTTCAAATAATCCTCTTGTTAGACTACAAAGGCCACTGTAATTGTGCTCCTGTACTTGTACATATGTTATTATAAACTTGACATTCTCTTGCATGTGTGATTTGCGCAGGGCAGGAACACAGAAGAGGTTTTTTTCTGCTTGTATGGCTCGAAAATCAATAACATACAAAGGTCAACATCCGTCAAGAGACACTCACTTCTGATAGGATGCTATCAGCAGTTTTGAAGCATCCACTGAAACAACTGTTTACTCAAACACATAAGCTAAGAATAAGCATCACACGCTACACTCGTGAGTTTGCTCGCTGTACAAATCCAAGATTTATTCTAAAGATTTCTCCAGGTGTGCAAATAATCCTCCAAACGGTTGCAGAACAGAGCAGATCGGAGCGCACACCCGCATCCTCCTGATGGTATAATTTTGCTGATAAACTGTCACTTGCTGTCAAAGGTAAAAGGTCTGTTTGAGATCCCCTGTGTCGTACACTCTTTAAATCTGTCTCCCAACTGTACAGAATGGTGAAACACTTTTACCTCACTCGATAAGTTTAGAGTGTATTTGTACGCCGTCTTTAGTTTAATCTCCTGCAGGAAATGCTTATCTAGACTCACGTTGGAGAATATAAAAACAGCCCCTGGATGTCTGCATTTTAAAATCCCCTGTGTGCACAGTTAGCCTTTTAAATTTCACCATTTTAATTATAAATGCCTGTTCCTGGAATATCTGTTTGCTAGGTTATGTGCCTGGATTTTGTGTTTGTGTGTGTGTGTGTGTTGTCATATTTATACTGTCTGGCACTTTTAAAAGATTCCCAAGGTGACATTTCTTTGAACGGAGTGCACAAAAGCCAGCGCACCTCCTTGTGCGTGTATGCGCGAGGAGGCGAGGGGTTATCTGAAAAGTCACGGTTGGCTGAGTTTGTCTTTTGTTCTTCGTATACCTCCAGCCAATTAAGAGACAAGACTGACAAATCTACTCCTCCTCTTTTTCCTCCTCACCTAACCCTCCTTGTGTCCTCCTTTCTTTTCATCCTCCTTTATGTCTCCTCTCTGTCCCCTCTTCCCTTTCTCTCTGTTTTACCATACTCTGCTGGGGTTGACTTTCGCAATGGAAATGACCTTCCAGTGATGTGAACTTTTTAACAACATCAAGCCCGCTGCTGCAACAAAGTCACAAACCCAAAGGACAATTTCTTTTCTCCACACTTTCTGCACTCTTTACACTTGAGGGTATAAATCCAAAAAGGGTTGTTTTTTTTCAGGACACAAGGTGATGCACATTTTGCAATGAGAATTTCATGAAAATTTCATGAAACCTGAAGTATAGTCTTCTTCTTTGTTCCTCACCGTCGCTTTCTCTGGCCACCCACTGCATTCACGTCATATCAGGAAAGGTGTATTAGGAAAGATACAAGCTCTATATGCCATGTCTTGTTTTCTGAAACTGGAATCCAGTTGTGTGGAATTTACATAAATGCAGTTTAAGAGAGAGGGAAGAGGACATTGTAATCACAGAGTGTTGCTTAAGCTTGCATATGGCATTCTGGCTTTGCTACAAAGGAAACAACTTTAAAAATGGATGAGAAGTCTTTCATGAGGGCAGACATGAGAGTGAAAGATAAATGAGCAAAGAAATGGCTAAGTGTGAAGGCGAGAGGAAGAGAGGTTGCTTTAGTCTTTGGTCCATTAAGGCTTTTCTAGCAGCTCTGTTTTTACTTTGTCAGGGAATGCAGAGTTTTCCATTATTTTTTTTCTCTTCATCTCCTGCAGATAGAAAAATGACAATTTTAAAGTATTTGTCAGGGGATCTGCATTAGCAGCCGAGCAGAGGAAAAGGTAAAAGCAAGATGGATGGGGGGATGGGTTGAGGGAGGAAATAGATTTGTGAAATGATGCACCCTGGGACAGAGGCTTTGACAAAGAAGCATGGAGGTACACTGAGAGGAAAGACAGAAGCTATTGGATGACAGGTTACTTTCATTTGGGCTGCTTTGGGAGGGCTTTCCTCTGATGTCATGTAGTTACAGATGGCCTGTCACCAAGGTCATGATATTCAGATGAGTATCGATGAGATGTGTGCGAGCCTAAGAGCACAGATTTCCCCTTTTGACATGATTGTGACCCTGGTCGAGGAGCATTAAGATACTGTTGTTGAGGGACATTGTTGCATAATTTGGATTGCAAACAAATCACTCACAGGATCGAGAGGGAAAACGGTTTGGACTTTCACAAAACCAAGAGTCTACATCCTGACTCGTTTGGAATGGTTTCTGTTTTTAATCCTCCCCCTTATTTTCCTGTCTGCGTGTGGAGTGTGATAATGACTTCGTTATCAGGCCATGGTTTTAATTTTGTTCTTTATTTGGCACATTCAGTGCCACGAACAGCAGCCTCCAATCTATATTTAAAAAGGTATTTTTTAAACATGCAAATAGTGATGTGTCTATCTGATTGCTTATGATTCCCTTTCCCCCTCCTTCTATCTTCTTCTGCAGGCAAGCAGAGGATCTGTCTGATCATTCTGAACCAGCCTTTGGATAAGGACTATTTACACATCCTCTGGAATAAAGGTATATCTCACTCATCAGGAATACACATCAAACAAGCCCCCTTATATATCACTTGGATCCAGTCTGCATCGGTTTGCCCTGAGCATGTATTCCCCTGTTTGTTTTTTGTCAGACGGGCTCTCCAGCCTGTGTAGCCTTCACACTGCAAAATCTTAATTGCTGCCATGTCATTGCAAATGCCCCCTACCTGCCCTCTGCCCACATTTCCTGTGAGGTGTGTTTTAATGAAGTGAAAGATGACATAAAATGACTATTTTGCAGAAAATAATTTTCCTTTCTGCACAGGTGACTTTTTATTTTATTAACTCCTGTGACTGCATGACCTGAACAATGATTAGAATCAAAACAAAGTTATTATTATACAAAAGGCATTTCCATTGCATTCACAGCCGTAATATGCAACAATGTTTTTGTTGCCCCTTGAGACACTGCCTCTTCTACAACATCATTAAATAGCATCATTTTTTTCCTGAACTTTTCCAGACACAAGCATCAACAATTAAACTGTGTCTATGACATGCGGAAACAGGGTCATTTAAGTATACATATAAACCAGAAATGTATGTGAAGGGCTATACGGATACCTTAAAAGGTCTGTATGCATTTCATTCATTATTTTCAGATGCTGTCAGCTTTCACAGCACTGAGCCATATACTTAACTGTATAATTTGTTTTTATATGCGTTCAATCTCATTGAAAGCACTCTCTATTGTGAGGTGTCATGGCAACAATGATGGCACATCCATTCTGATTCATTGTGTGATAACTGTGTGTATACATTCACTAAACATAATTGGTTGGTAAATAATGTGAACACAGGCGGTGGCAGTAAGTGTCCACTCAGCGGGCGAGTGACAGGGTTGACATAAACAACCCACTGGGCCCAAGACCCTTGTATTCAGAATGTGTCGTGTCTCGCCGTGAAGATTTTCTCATTCATGCACAGCCCTTGCTTATACATTAACAAAAAACACAATTTTCTGTGGATAAAGGGGCAGAACATTTCAAGCACGACCGGGGCTGTGTATTCATATCCGAACATACAGTACTTGTATAATACAAGCTCACTGAATGGTCATCCCCAGGGACATGTTGATGATTATTGTTGAAGATGGGAAAAACTGTGATCAGTCACTTTAACAAGTTAGCTGGCAGTTTATGAATCAAGGCCATCCCTTAGATTCCAACCACTCTTTCGTAGTTGGTAACTAGAGGAAATCAAAATGGATTTGATTTTCCTTCTGCTTCATGAATACTCCAAGGCTCTTTATCAGAGTAAAAGACAAATAAGAATTAAAAAAAAAACTTGCACTAAAGGTTCATCTTAAAAAGAGGAAAAGGGGAGTAGAGTTCCAGACCCCCTGAGGTGCTACTTGCAAGATGCGTTGATGCATAGCGGTGGTGCTGCTCGGCTGTGATGTGTTAAATATGCAAAGCTGACTTTGAGCCTTTAAACCAGGCAGTGTCATCTCAACCTGTATCCCATAACTTTGTTTTTCTGTTAAATCTGGTGAACTGATCAGAAACAGAGCCTAACTGAACATGAACCGAACTGTTCACGAATTTATCACGCATGTGGTTTTATCAAGGATGGAGTGGAGAGAAGTGGCCTGGATCCCTGGTTCTCTTTTGACGCTAAGACCATGAAACAACAACAACAAACAAAACTGTAGGCACACTAATTTATAAAAAATGTAATACACAGACTTATGCAATCAGGGAAGAATGTTAGTAAACAAAGTAACTTTGAAGCCAAACTTGTGATTAATACCATATCAGATTGAATTTTAATGAACACTGCTTTGATATTCTTTTCAACTTAGGAAAAACCCAAGAGGCACCTGAGCTCTTTCCATCGCACAGCAGTCACATGTTTAGTTAGATGCTCTTGATCTTTGCCTTAATAATAGAGGACCTCTAGAAAATGTTTAATGGCATTAGACAAAGCAATTCCCTTATCTGATTTCACACCAGAGGTTGTCTGCTGCCTCCAGATAAAGATTCTTTGGTCAGTGTATTAAGTGAGGAAAATAGAAAATGTGGGATTTAAAGAAAGAAAAACATAAAACATTCATCAAAAGGATTTTGATACCTCTTAAATGAAAGGGAATGTATTTGATGCAAAAGCCTTACACTGTACATATAGAATAGAGCCCGACCGATAAATCGGTGTGCCGAAACTATCAGCCAATTTGAGCTAATTGCAGATTAGAAATTAAATTGGTATCGGTGTTTATAACAGCTGATAAATGACCATTATGTTTTTTTTCAATTGCTAAGATGCAATGGTCACAGCTGAAGATACTTTTTCAAAACTCTTCACACAGTCTGCATTACCAACATGCATCTTGGCCAAACACTTAATCTGACCTCCAAAAGTCACTCAAACCACCAAAAGACTTCGTACAAGTCTCAAAATAGACTCGTTCAACCAAAACACTGGCAACAATTCTCATTTAGAAAGCATACAGTTTCACTCGTAACACACTGACCTACAAAACACTAAAAACAGGGAGCATTACATAAATGAAGAACTTAAATAAATAAATTAGGTTTTCATTATACAAAAACAATAACTTATTTTTACTTTGATGGTACTAAAGTATATGTAACAAGAATGCATCAGAAATGCAGCAATTTGCTTCAATATCCTTTATTTGTTCTGTATCTGTGGATAGTATTGTAAACTGTGAAAAATGTTACTGTAAATTGAAACCAAACCCCCCACCCCACAAATTTCTGGAATTCCACGGCTGCAAACAGTAATACAAGAAACACCTCAAAAACTCATAACGTACAGTACTTGAGGGTGCTGGTCCTCCCTCTCTGTTGCATTTGGCCACAAGTTCTCATCAACATCACATCTTATGTCTTCCCTAGCGATGCATCTTGGAAAGTATTTTCTGGAATGTCTAATCCAACCCTGGCAGTCTGCAGGAGATGTGTCTCCACATCCCGCATTCATGGCATCCAGTAAGGTCATCTGGTCATGTGGATGGTGGTCATACACCTTTCACCTCCATGCAGAGAAAAACTCCTCTATGGGGTTTCGGAAGGGGGAGTATGGAGGCAGGAGTAGTACTGACATCCTGGGATGTGCAGCGAACCAGTCTGTAACTGCAGCAGAGTGGTGGAATGCCACATTATCCCACACAACAACAAAGATAGGGGAGTTTCTTGCTCCTCTCTCCTCCGCTGGCGCAAGGCGATTATGCAGGTCATCCAGGAAAGACATGAGCCTCTGCGTATTGTAGGGACCAATGAGTGGTTTGTGTAACAGCAAACCATCATTGGATAGTGCTGCACACATCGTGATGTTAGCTCCTCTCTGCCCTGGGACATCCACGGTTGCTCTCTGTCCAATCACATTTCTTCCCCTGCGGCGTGTTTTTGCCAGGTTGAATCCAGCTTCAGCCACAAAGATGAATGTATGTGCAGTTTCCCTGGCTTCCAGCTCCATTACTCTCTAAAATACAGTAAATACACAGTTTTACAGGACTTCACATTATGCATCACTGTGTATATTCCCTGACTGATTATTGAACATCTTACCTGGACATATTGATAACGGCGTTCTTTCACACGTTCACAGTTTCTCTCGAATGGTACAGTGGACAACTGCTTTGTCCTTATTTTATGTTTCTCCAGGACTCTGGCAATTGTCCAAATTTCCAAAAGTGATATTGTCTGCCTACTAAGATTTTTTACTTATTTTAATCTGGTCACTGCAGAAATTCAGTACATTTACCATAAATCTGTTTTGAATGTGTTTTTAACAGTTTTGGACTCAGTGTGTCAGCATTAGAAAAATGTGCTGCAGATATACAGTGTTTTGCAGGTAGTGAAGTAGTAATGAGAAAAGAGTTCATGAATTTTGGAGAAACGGGTTATTGACTGCATTTTGTGTGAAAGCAATGAAAAATGATTCACAGTTTGGTCCACATACACTTCTGTTGCGCTGACTGTGTGAAGAGTTTTGACAATGTGACTTCTGTTTTGACCCATGCAGGTTAGCAATTGAAAAACACTGTAAAAAAGAAACTAAGATGGATCCATCAAACTTGTTATGAGTGTTGTTGTTGCACAGTATATCCACTCTACTGCTCCACTGTTGGCAGCACAGGTTTGGAAAGCCTTATATCCAAAACAATTTACAGTAAACAGTTTACTTTTAAACTGCATTGTGTTATGTTATCTTGAGGAGGTCTCTCAACTACACATAACAAATGTTAAGGATAATCTTTGCTTATGTTATGTGTTTCTGAAAAGGAGGAGAAAAAAAGAATATCGGCTGACATATTGGAATATCGGATTTTAAAATTGGTCTCATATCGGTCTGGCTCTAATTTATTTTATTTATTTAAAAAAGGGACAGTGCACATTAATGAACAGACAGGTTGTTACAAAGGTCAGTCCAACAAAGGACAACATAACAAAACAATAGAAGGAATAGTATAATACACCATGTTAAACAAGACGGTCATAATGCTTTGCTATGCAGATCATGAGCTAGTTACTAAAGTGAATCTAAATCTAGAGTAAAGGGAAAGGCCATTTTTCTGTAGGTCTGCACAAGATGGTAATATTGCTTGTTTTTCAGAAAATTGCAGTTGCTGTTTGATTTTGAAATGCACCTGAATCATTTGTAATTTTTAATCTAAACTGAAGACTCACTGAAGATTCAATATTGAGCTTAAGTGATCTGTTTTCCACTAACATTGGGAGATAATTTGACTTATAATAGAGTCTTTACACCCTGTTGATTGTAAGTGACCCTCAACAGTGTTTTGAAATTGATGTATAGCTTTAATCACCTTACTTTGTATCCACACTGTGACCAGACGAGCAAAGTTTAACTGCTATACTCTAGGGATTCAATCTTACATAAACACATTGTGGTTTTGCATATCCTTTTGCAAATTGTCTCATAAATGTTTTTCACATTCAAAACTTAATAACTAATACACAAACAAGAATCACAAGGCAACCCTTCCATCAA